GGAAAGAGAGAGAGATCTTCTATCCATTGATTCACACCCCCCCCCCTTCCCAAATTGTTACAACAGCCAGGGTTGTGCCAGACTAAAACCTGGAGCCTGGAATTCCGTCTGCGTCTCCTTTATGGCTGGCAGGAGCCCTGGCACTCCAGCTCTCGTTTGCTGCCTCTTAGGGTGTATGGCAGTGGGAAGCTGGGATTCAGACTTTGGGTCTCAATCTGATAAGGAATGTGGGCATCCAAGCAGTTGCCTAAACCATTGCTGCCACAGTGCTGGCCTTTGGGTTGTGTTTAGCAGCGCGAAAAGGACCTAATTTTTATTTTTTGTAAATTTATGATGACCTGATCATCGCAATACCACTTAGTAACAATCCTCATCTATTAAGTGATGACTGGGGAAGAAAACATGGTATATACCACCATGGAATGCTACTCAGCTACTAGAAGAATGAAATCCTGTCTTTTTCTTTTGCAACGAGATGGAAACAACTGGACTCCACTATGCTTAGGGAACTAAGCCTGGCTCAGAAAGACAAATATTGTATATTGTCTCTGCTCTGTGGTAACTAATATAGCAGACAGAAAATGTGTGGGAATGTAGCAGTCACTTTTGGGTAGGATTGTCATTTTTAGTTCTTACTGTATCTTAAATTATTTCTTTTTGTTTGAATGATAGATATACAGAGAAAAGGTGAGATAGAAAGACCTTCCGTCCACTAGTTCACTTCCCAAGTGGCCACAATGGCCAGAGCTGAGCTGATTTGAAGCCAGGAGCTTCTTCCAAGTCTGACACACAAGTGTAGGGGCCTAAGGCTTTGCTTAGCTCTTATTTACATTCCATTGGAACCATGGTTTTTGTACTTCTCAATTGTTGAATGTCATGATTAGTGGTGAATTAAGCCTGTGAATGAAGAGTGGATTAAAATTATGTCTGTACAAAGTTGATGCAGAGAGGGGGCGGGAGCAGGGGAGCGAGGGAACTGGGGTCACGTCCTTGGGACTGTACCCATGCAGCCCACACAATCTGCTCTCTTTATATTCATATAGCAACTAAAACGGGAAAACCAGACCCTCTTTCCCCATCAATGTGAGACTTGCTCTTAGTGCCTACCAAATTTGCATATGTCATTGAGGCTATTTCTGGATTTTCTATTCTCTGTCATTTTCAAGGTGACACATTTTCCAAGATAGATTTAGAGGAAATCTTAGTATCTGATAAACCTGGGCCTCCCTTCCTGCTCTGTTTGTTTCTTTCATTTTTTTTTTTAAGTAGCAAGCATGCTAAACACATTTAACCAAAAGCAGTTATGGGGAGAATACTTATCTTCATCTCCAAGAAACTTTTTGCTGTGAAGAAAAATCCTAAACATCTATTATGTAAACATAATGGAATAAGGAACAGACATCTGCCCATCCTCCAACTTCTACCTTGATTAATAGTTCACAATTTTTGCTTTCTTTGTATTCCCCCCATTAATGCTTTTTATTTTTAAAATAGCTATTATTATTTTTTTTTATTGGAAAGTCAGATATACAGAGAGGAGGAGAGACAGACAGGAAGATCTTCCATCTGATGATTCACTCCCCAAGTGGCCACAATGGCCGGAGCTGAGCCAATCCAAAGTCGAGAGTTGGGAGTTTCTTCTGAGTCTCCCACTTGGGTGCAGGGGCCCAAGGCTTTGGGCCGTCCTCAACTGCTTTTTCCAGGCCACAAGCAGGAAGCTGAATGGGAAGCGGGAACCTGTGTCCATATGGGATATTGGAGCGTGCAAGGTGAAGACTTTAGCTGCTAAACTCCTAAGCCAGGCCCTTATGTTTTTTGTTTTTTTTTTGTTTGTTTGTTTGTTTTAATTTAACATCTCATGCAGATTGCAATGCACGCAGGGCAAATGCAGTGGCTCAACTGGCTATTCCTTGGCTTTGTGAGTGCCAGCATTGCATATGGGCACCAGTTCATGTCCCGGCTGCTCCACTTCCCATTCAGTTCCCTGTTTATGACCTGGGAAAGCAGTAGAGGATCACCCAGAGCCTTGGGACCCTGCACCCACATGTGAGACCTGGAAGAAACTCCTGGCTCTGAATTGGCTCAGCTGTGGCCATTGCAGCCATTTAGGGAGCGAACCAGCAGATGGAAGATCTTTCTGTTTCTCTTATTCTACATATATCTGCCTTTCCCTTAAAAATAGAAAAAAAAATTAAAAAGTAATAAATCTTTTTTTAAAGAAAAGAAATGCACCAGTATTATTTGTACAAATTCTATCTCTGTGACCCGCATTCCTGTAAAGATACTAAATGGTTTTTTCTTCACCTTTTATTTATACTTTGAAGAAAATCACTGCTTCAGTTTTTTTCACCAAAGATTTTTTTTTTTTAAAGATTCATGTTATTTTTTTTGAAAGACAAAGTGACGCAGAGTCATCTTCCATCCACAGGTTCACTCCCCAGCCACAACAGATGCGGCTAGGTGAGGCTGAATTCAGCAGCCTGGAATCCCTCCCAGGATCTTTCATGTGGTTGGCGGGGGCTCAAGCACATGGGCCATCCTCTGCTGCCTTCCCAGGGGCATTAGCAGGAAGCTGGATCAGAAGAAGTGGAGCAGCTGGGACTGCAGATGGTATCCGTGCTACAACTCTGGCCCCTTCACAAAAATCTTCCTGGAATGTTCACAGATGTGGTGTCCCAGCATGCATTATTTTCTGTGTAGTGCTTTCCACTCAAGCAGGCTTGTGAGACACATCCATGTTAGGGAGAGTACTGACAGTGTGTTCTTTTGACTGCTGAGTTGAATATACCTGATTTGCTCATACAGCGGGCACTGACGGATACCTGAGCTGCTACTGGTCATCACTTCTGGGAATACAGCTGCTGGGGCATGCTCATGCCACGTGTGTGTGTGTGTGTGTGTGTGTGTGTGTGTGTGTGTGTGTGCTGTGATTCCACTTGGGAGGAAATACACACTCACTTGCTGAGAAACTGCTCAAGTGTTGACAAAGGCAGCTGTGTCACTGCACATTTCTACAGCGATGTCTGGTGTGCCAGGCACTCCTCAGCTTCACCGTCATTTAACGTTGATCACCTCTTGCATGTCCAGCTTTTGGAGTGGGTATGCTGAGATGTCTCCTCCAGGGCCCAGCCTATGGCTTAGTCCCGGCAAATCACTCGACTGATGGAAGTGGTTAGAGTGGTAGCTTAGGGTTCTTGTTTCCCAACTGTTCATTTATTTACTGCCATCTTCTGTGAAGTCAGTGGCAGAGAGAAAGAGAGAGAGAGATTCCTTAAGAACTTTAACATGCTAACATCCAGGTCTGAGTCTAGGAATCCAAAAATTCAGTGGTGTAAGTTCCAGCCCAGCCCGAGTACCAGCTCGGTCAGCTAAGCAGCCAGAATTCCCTCTCAGGCATTCTTTGGTTTCATTCAGGTCTTTGACTGCTGGCATGTGGCCCATGTCCACGAGGGAGGGCCATCTTGGCAGCTGATCAAGCATCCTTCCCAGGAAGAGGCCGTCCTCATGTGAGGGCCAGCAGAGGCAGGATTCTTGGACCGTTGGATTCCATTGTGGTGATGGGGGCAGTTTTACTGCACTTGAGAGTTAAGTAGGGAAGGAGAGATTAAAAGTGTGAGTGTAGGAGAAGCCCAGGGAGAGAGAAAGCCTGGGAGACATTTGCAGTAGAATATGTGCAGTGAGGGCGGAGACATCTCCTTCATTCTTTCCTGTGAAACCGTGAATGGTGGCTACCACGTACTGGCTGCCCACTGGGAGCCTAGGGTGAGAGCAGATTAGACACAGGGACATCCCTTAGAGGCAAGAAGGGAGGTCAGCATGTGACAGGCTCCACACACCGAGACTGCCTGCAGGCGATGTGGGACATCTGCCTGGAAGGGAGGCATAACAAGTGCCCCTGGAGGACACATGTATGCCCTGGCAGTGGCCCATGTGGTCAGAGCCACGATAGTGCCTGTATCTATCCTTGGTGGTCTGGCCTTCTGCTCACCACAGCACACAACTTGGTCATCCTCCCACCACTGCATGCCGTAATGGCATGCATGATAACACAATGGGAATTGGAAAGGGACTAACCACGGATTCTCATTTGTATCTTGGAAGACAGTTGGAGCTTTTCAGACTACTGTATGCCCTGTTTCTTGCCAGCATCCTGCTGTGCTGGGCCTTGCAAGCAACCCTCCCCTTCCCTTCTCCCAGACAGGTGCAACGAGTAATGAGGATCCAGAGGGGATGTTGGTACCAGTGATCCCTACTGGGGAACGGGAATGACACCAGCCCAGGCAATTGGCTCAGATCTCAGGCTGGACAGAACTCCCATTTTGGCTGCTGGCTATTGCCAAATTTGTCTGGTGAATATTGAGGTCATTTTCATCTTTCAACCCTCAGTCATTCTTCCAATGGTGTTGCCTGGTATTCATAGTTCCAGGCGGTTTTGTGAGAGTCAGGCAGATGAGGAGCTAATGGGAGTGTGAAGGATCATGCCAGCTCTTGTCCTTGCTCACAGCCTGGCAGTGACAGTGTATGAGTTTGGAAGTGCTAGCTGGTGCTGGTCTGGATGATGTGACGGACAGGATGGGGAAGGCCTCAACCTGACATAAGCAAAGGAATAAAAATGTGGATACAGTTCAGAGAACTAAATTGTGTTGTCTGCATCTAGTGTTACTCCATAGTGGCCACCTGACCCACAAGACTCTGGATTGGAGACTTGGGCTAGTTTGGGGGAGGGTGGAAGAAAGAATTCAAGTGGGAAGCTCAGAGCTTGGTGGGCAGGCGATGTGGAGGCATACAGTACAGAAGCATCCCTGGTGAGAGCAACTACTGGTCTCCTTTATCAGAGACCAGGCGCCATGCACCAGTGGTCACATGACAGAGGGGAGTGAGTGGCGGCCACAGACGTCACCTCTGTGCCACTGGGCAGTACTTTCCCTTTTTGTCCTCGGGGCCCCACCCAGCACCAGTGGACCGCTGAGCATCCAACCTCAAGGGACTCATAGCACCCGAGTCACTCTGCACTGGGCTCACACGGCCACGCTGTTGGCTGGGGTTGAGCAGAGTCAGGCATCTTCCGACTCCCCACTTCTGCTTTCTCCAGGAAACAAGCAGCAGGCCCCGGAGCAAGTGATTCATACTGAAACGGCGTTGCTGAAGGCGAACTATGCCACTGCCAGCCCACTCCGCCTCCCTGGAGCCCCGGGGGGCCGCCAAGTGCAGCCGGAGATGAGGGTGTCCGTGCCATCTGACCTCAGCGGGCTCTGACTGCCACCTGGCCAGGTAGGCTTGCTGCTCTCAGGCGAGCTGGGCCATGCAGGGGTGGGAGTGGAGGGGCTCTTGTGTCAGTGTGAGGCCTACCAGCTCTGCCATCCCGGAAACTGATGAGAAAGGGAGCTCCTGTGAGCCCCAGGACCTGGTCCCTCTCTGTGGATGTGGTACAGGAGGTGAGCTGAGCAGCCGGAAGTGTGTGTCATGTCAGTGGCCTCTGATGAAGCCCTGTGGCCGTTGCTGTTGACCTGCACCGTGCTGGGCTCCGGCACTGCTCCTTCTCTGATCACTGGTCAAGGCCTTGCACGGAGTTCCACTGAGAAAGGTGATGCAGAGGTCTCTGCCAGGGATGCATGCTATCTGAGATGCAGAGAGGTCACTGACTGTGAGGGTCCTCCCTCCAGCAGACCCCCCACCCTTGCCAACCTGGGCAGTCCTCCAGGAGTGCAGAGTGGTGGCAGGGTTGGGAGGACACACCAGGCTGACTGGTGGGACCGCCGGGCCTGCCCCTTCTCTGGCGTCACTCAGCTGGGGAGTCTGTTAAGTAGGCGACTCCTGGGCCCCACTTCCCTTCTCGGAATCCTCACTTCAGCTTCCAGACGTGGAGACTGAGTAACTGGGCCTGCCTGGCTCACTGAGGAGGTGCTTACTTCTTCTCCCCTCAATCGCTATGGAACCTTCTAGAATGCCCAAGCAATGCTTTGTCTTAATCTGTTGAAGTGCCTGGAAGAACTGATGTGATAACTATGGGTTCATACTTCATTCTGCCTGTTTGTGTATGTGTGTGTGTGTGTGTGTTGATGGGGAAGGCGTATATTGTTGTATTGTTTTGATTTTATTAGGATTCTTTGTGAGGCAGTGGACTTAAGTTACTTTGTAGATATTCAGCTTGAAGTCACTTCCCAGCCAGGTGCTGGCTGGATGAGGCCTTAGGGATCATTGGAGTAGGGTCCTTGGGGCACAGGACCATGGGCTGAATTGGGCTGGGAGGCCAGAGAAGGCTTCTGTCTTTTGAGAAGAGGCCTAAGGGAGGGAAGGCCTGGCGTTTCTGTGGGTATCTGAGGAGGGTACCTGGGTGGGGTGGGGGATGCTGGTGTGGCCATCTTGAGTGAAGGACATGGTTGGGGGAAGGTCAGGGGCCTCTCTGTCTGCTTGTGCTGGAGGATGAGGGCTGTGCTCTTGGGGACTTGGACATCCAGTGTGCCAGGCAGAAAGAGCAACAACACCGTACACCCATGCGGTCACACCTTCACTCTGCTTTTGAGCATCATTCTCGTCTCCTGCGTCCTCAGCACTCTTGTCCACCAGTCTCCTACAGAGGCAGCTCCTGTTGCAAACAGAGGTTTGTTTCTGATTCCACCCCGAGTCTCTAAACTGCTGGATGTGGACTGCTGAGTCTTCCGCATTTGTAACCTCCACAAACAAGGAATTAAATACGCTTAACAACTCAGAGGCTTAAAAGCTTCTTCAATGGTTGCAGGTGTCTGACAGACCGTTGTCTGTTGTGTAATATTCTGCTCCACATTCAGTTTATTTTCCTGAGTGACTATTGATTAGAATGGGGGTTGTTTCTAGTTTTGCCCATTGAAAGAAAGGTTGATAGAATTATTTTCTAAAAGAATTATTATATATTTTTTTAATTTTTGGAGAGAGAGAATGAATATCTTCCAATAACTGGCTCAGCCCTAAAGCTAGTAACCAGGCACTTCATCCAGGTATCTCATGTGGGTGGCAAGCATTTGGGCCATCTTATGTCTCTTTCCTGGGCACATCAGCAGGGCGCTGAATGGGAAGCAGAGCAACCAGGACACGAACTGGTGCACATATGGGACGTTGATATTGCTGGTGGTAGCTTTACGTGCTGTATCACAATATTAGCTTTGGAACTATTCTTGTATAATAGATGCTCATTGTCTATATTTCCATTTGTCTATACATTACACGGTCAACTGTAATCTGAAAATATTATATGGAAGATTCCAGAAATACAAGATTCAAACTTGTAAAAATTGGTTCCGTTACAGTGCATCATTTTCACGGTTCTGTTGTATTATTAATTTTGCCACACTTCTTCCTGTGCCTAATTTGTAAAAGTTTGTCATGGGTGTGTAGAGAGAAGGTTAATTATGGAGTGTATCTGCTTCAGTAGGCTCAGGTTCCTCTGGGGTTCTCGGAACATATTCCCTGATGACAAGTCAGGACGGATGTGCTGTGTGGATGGGTGAGAATTCCTCTAGAGGATAGGTTCTAGGCACAGGGCAGGTGGATCACAAGGAATGTGCATCTTTAGGCTTGCAAAATCGATGCTACCTTTGACTAACTGATCAGCCATGTGCCAAGCTTTCTCTTCACCAAGGCCTAATACTGTGTCAGATGGTTTATTTTTTTGCCTGTTGAGTGGAAATGAAAAGCACTCACTTGTGTTTCAGAGTTGTAGTTCCCAAATTCAGGTTGGGCGTTTCTTAGTGTCTACCTGGATCCCCTTTCCTGTTTCTATCTTTTGCTCACTTCTCTGTAGGGAGTTCTTTCCTTTCTGATACGGATCTGCCGCCGTTCCATAACTAATCTGGTTGTCCATCTTTCCCTCTGATGTTTACTGCAAATAGTTTCCACAGGTTTGGGTCTAATAGCTTCTGTTAATAACTGAACTGGTTAATTCCAAATTAGTTTAACTTCTCCGTCTATTTCTGTATGCATTATCTAAGAAATGTGCCTTCTCTATAAGGTCATGTGTTATTCTTTCATATTATATGAAGTGGTGAAAATTTTGCTTCTCATCTTTAAGATTTGAGTCTGCCAGGAGGTGGTTTTTCTGTATGGTATGAAGTACCAGGTGGTAGTTTTCTTGCCTTGGATAGTTAAAACTCGGTCTCACTATTAAAGAGCACTCTTTACCCACTGAGCTATACTAGCACTGTGATATAAGTCTGTGGCTTGCCTTCTCATTAATCTAAATCTTCTTTAAAGTGTTTAAAATGTTACACATCTCTTCCTAAGAAGGGGTATTTCTGCTACGATTTATTTCTAAATGGTTTGTACTTTGTATTATCACTAAAATGTGTGTGTTTATGTTTTCGTTCTTCTAATATGTGCTTAATTTTGGGAAGATTCATTATGGCTTTCTGATTGGAATAGATTGTGGAGGAGCAAGAGAAAAAAAAAAAGCAACACAGTCGGTCATGATGCTTTGGAAGTAGTCCAGGGTAGAGGTGGTTGTTTGCTTCGGAATGACAATGATGCAGCAGACCAAGCTGCCACCCACAATGTGGGCATCTCCCACTGCAATACCAGTTTGAGTCCTGGCTGCTCTGCTTCTGGCTCCCTGTTATTGCAATCTGGAGGCAACAGGCTACAGGCCCAACTACTTGAATCCCTGCCACCTATGTGGGAGACCAGGATGGAATTCCTGGCTCCTGGCTTCCACCTGGCCCAGACCTGTGTGTTGTAACCATATGAGGAGTGAATCAGTGGATGGAAGGTCTTTATAAAAATGATAGTGGCAGTGGTAATAAGAGCTGGTGAAGTGCTCAAATCCTAGATTTGCTTTTTGAGGGTGGGCCTTGACTATGATTTCAGAGTAGGGCACATCGCAGATGGCCCCAGAGTGGTAAGAAGGATGCAATCAGCTTTTACTGAGCTAGCACCAAGGGCTGCGGGTGCAGATCTGGCAGGTGGTGCTTGTTCAGGAATACGGATCTGCACACATAAAAGTGGTCAAGCTTCTCAGACAGTAAGTAGAGACACAGTCTTGGAATCCTCCCAGCTCCACGGTTGCAACCTTCATGGTAGAAAAGCAAGTTTAGATGACTGGGATGCTGTAAAAGGGATGTTTTCTCAGAGTTCGCCCAAAAGCACTGAAGTCTGTCGCCTGTTTTATGAATAGCTTTCACTGGCTCTCGCCTTCCCATGCAGCACACCGACACACCGGTAAAAGCACACCGGAAGGAGGAATGACATCTCCAGGCAGCATTCCCAAACCCTGCCCTGGCTGATGGTCCTCCCCATAGCTACCGCACATGTCAGGTTCAGACATCTAGACTGAGGCTGTGTGATACCGAAGCCGCTGGTCACGCTGAAGATGTGGCCAGCATGAAGCCAGATGCAGAGACAAAACCATGCACCAGACTTCCTTGATGTTACAAAAAAAGGCCTATGCTGTCTCATGGAAAGTTGAGAAGAGATTTCATATTGGAACAATTTCATGTTGGTTCTAGGCTGTGCCGAGGAGAATAAATGCTATGGGTGCTCATGTTCGTTATATACAATGGTGAATTTTTTGCATCAACCCTACACACATCTCCCCTTGTACTTACATCACCTCTAGATTACTGGCTGCATTATAAGTGCTATGTAAACTTTTTAGGCAATAATGACAAGTGTGGGGGAAATGTAGATTTTCCAGATAGTTTCAACTCATCGTTGGTTGCATCTGTGGGTTGGGAACCTACGGATATAGGAAGATGAGTGGCACTACATTAAGTTTAATTTAAAGATTAATGTTGGCCTAGTTACTTTTACTTTTGTAATGTGGCTAATTCAGACACACACCTGTGGCTTGAACTTGCGGCTGGCTGTATTTTTCTATTGGCAACACCCACAGAGAAGTGATTCTTTTTGTTCTGGGGCCAGAGGCTTTTTTTTTTTTTTTTTGGGAAACAAGCTTCAAAAGGATGGGAAGTGAGGGAAGTGAGAAACTGCTGGTCTCATATAACTCCAAGGAGAAAGCAAGTGTGAGGGCAGAAAATGACCAGGTCCTCGATGGGACACTTGTCTTTGCAATCACATTTTAGCCTCATGTTGTGATCAATCCCATTATTCCAATTTTACAGAGAATGGAGGTTTGGAGAGACAAAGTCCTCTACCCTTAAGACGAAGGTTTGGATGTGAACCTAGCTCCTGGTTCCATTGGGCTTTTTAGAATTTGTGTTACTATTGTTGTGGTTTTAAAGATTTATTTTTATTTTTGTTTGAAAGGCAGAGTTACAGAAAGGAGAGACAGTGAGCTCTTCCAT